CCGGCCATGCTTTACACTGTGCCAATATGATCTAGTTGTTGCACTACCGGGAAAAAGTACTTCAAAGGATTCAGAACAAAGTTCTGAAAATGATTTTGAAGTTGCCTTCCTGGTACAGTACTACTGAACTACATAGAATTTCGAATGTTGAGATTTTAGAACAAATGTCCAGCAAAATAATTAATAATTTCAGGCAAAAATCGTTGAAATCCTCAATTGCAATGATTAATTCCCTTTATACTTAGATAAGATTTAGTGTTAGTTTTTAGTTTCAAGATGTAAATTGTTATACTGACATACAGGTAGGAACAATTTAAAAACACTTAGATATATACCATAACAATTAAGGCTGGTAACTTACTGTAGTTAAAATGAAATGTAATTTATTTTGAATTTGGAACAAATAAAGAGTGGAGTGATGGAGGTTTAGAGGTCGCGCTAATGAATTGATGTTTCTATGGAGATTTCGGCGAATTACTATGGGAATTTATTAATTTTCACTACATTGCTCTAACTTTGGTGTAAAAAATTAAATGGTTGTGTCCTAGGCACGACCGCAGTATGACGTAGAACCACGCAAAATTGATGTTTGTCATGCATTTTTGACTATTATATTTATTATTATGAATGGGGCGGGGCAGAACGTTTCTTTTGTGAAGAATATGGAAAAAAGGATGGACTTTGGATGTTAATCTAATTGCATGTATAGAGGTACCACATATGTCTTACAGTCAGTTGTTGGTAATTCATCGAATGTATGTCTCCTCTTAAGCAATTTTTTTTAAAAGATTTTGGCTCTGCGTGTAAAAAATTGTTTTTACTTATAAGGGGCTGTTCATAAACTACGTAGACAGAGTTTAAGGAGAGGTTGGCAAGTATCCACAGGCCATACAAATTAAAAAAAATGTATGGACAATTGTCTACGCAGGGGGAGGGGGGTGACCCCGGCGTAGTGGTTAACATCCATGTCTCTCACGCCAAAGTCACGAGTTCAAATCTCACCCCCGGACAAGTCACGAATGACCCAATGCTTAAAATTTATTTCCCGGAAAAAGGGATCATCAAAGTCCATGTCTTTTCCGGGTTTTTAAGGGGGGGGGGGGGGTTGTTGTTAAGGAGGAGGGGGTTTTACATACATAATTTTTCAAGTCTCTTTCCTCATTGTGGTTTATGGTAACGTCGTGATCCACCTTTAGCCGCTGACTTGGTCCTAATTGCTGCAGGACCTAGTGCAACGCCGTCCGAAGCGGTAATGAGCACAGGCAGGTAGGTAGTAGTAGTAGTTTATTTCTGTTGATTATGGTAGTACATTGATTTATCATATGAATTGATTAGCCTACCTGGCTCTTCATCTTTGTTTAATTTGATATTCTAATTTGATATTTGCGTTTTTCAACTAATTTACAGAATACCCCTTTGGGGATGTGTTTTATTTGAATTGAAAAAAGTGATAACCTACCTTACTACGAGTTTAACTTAACCTAACGTGCTAGATCACGTATGATCTGATGATTTGATCTCAGACAGGTGTCTTTGAACCTTTCCAGGATGAATACTCTGCGTTCTTCTAATGTCTGAATTCCAGCCAGGAGGTGGATCTCAGAATTTCTAGTCCGCGGACCATCCTAAGGATCTTGTTCTGGATCCTTTGGAGTTTAAGGTGATGGCATTTTGCGCAGCTCTCCCAGATTGGCATACCGTACTCGATTACAGGAAGGATGATTTGTTTGTAGACAGCAAGCTTATTTTTCAGGGACAGGGTTGACTTCCTGTTGATAAGTGGATACAACGATCTTATCAAGATGTTGCACTTGGTTGTGATGTCATTCAGAGAGACTCGGAACGTCCTGTCTGATAGATAGTTGTTTATTATCTTTACTAGGAAGATTGGAAGCAGATTTAGGAAATCAGCGCTGCTTTATATCTTTTCAGGTTCAAGAAGAATGATGTGCGACCAAGTGGTATTCGTTTATGATGACTGGGTTTGGGGAAAACGTTTAATTCATGAAAACAATGATAAAATTATCATTTGCGCATTTTTCAAAAGTTTTTTGATTAACGATTGGAAAAGTATTTATTTCAGCAGATTTGCTAAGTAATATCCTATCGATTGGCGTATTTGGATTTTAATTTCATCTATAAATGACAAAGTTATAAGCGTTCAAAACCTAACACTTTTAAACCACACATATTTTTTGATTTGTACCCCAGTAAAAGTCGACAAAGACGTAGTTCTACGTCAAAATTATACGTGGTTGATTAACAAGCTTGTTATTGTTGTGATGAAATTGGCGTTGATGTCTTGCCATTTTCATTCTGTCAATCTACCATATTTTGTAATTTTTGCGCATTTCTATCTTTTTTTTATATGATGTAAAACAGATAGCGACAAAACAGCCTCTTTGATCATTGTCATAGCAACAACACGTTATTTTTTACATTTGGACCAGTAGAACCACAGTTAGGGGGATGAAAGTGTTTTTTTTTTAATTCGGCCATAGTAATTACCATACAAATTTCAAATCATTTTCGCGATCTCTAAAACTTCATCATTCTTCTTCTTCTTCACATTTCAAGCTTATTGCATATCGCATATAAGCTTATTGCGTGCTCTCAACTTAGTGTTCTAGATGCACTTCCACAGTTATTAATTGAGAGCTTTCGATGCCTGTACCATTTTTGCATTTATGCCCAGGGAAGTCGAGAAATTTTCCAACCCGAAAAATTCCTAGACCGGACCGGGAATTGAACCCAGCCACCTCCAGCATGGTCTTGCTTTGTATCTGCGCCTTTACCGACTGAGCTAAGGGAGGCCCCCATCAATCTTTACTATTTTTGCGCAGGCGCATATTTTGGGGTTATGAATCGAACTGCAGGCTGGCCTATAAAAAAATAACGGGTTTTAAAAATAAAGCACCCTACTGTGACAGTCAATTGAAAGTTCTCCGCCTGAAATATGTGGGAGCTCTTAAATTTGTGCAGTTCTATAAATCTTGAAAATCATTTTAGATTTTTTTCAAAGGTTTTACGATTTTTTACGATCACGAAATCACACACATCAGACCTTACAACCCGATCAAACGCGCCAGCAAATGAAAATCATGATACAAACCTCAACTGGAACTCACTCACCAAATCAATACATGTATGTATCCCGATTACATACTGTCCGGGAGCGTATTCCACAAGTTTCCATGCATATTTCCTCCAATCAAATTGACAGTTGTACGGCAACTTGGCAGAGCAAACCTTTTTTCATCTAAGCACGCACACCATTTCCAGCACACACCACACCACCGAGCAATCAGATCGGCTCCCCCCACAGCACCGACAACTCTTCACATCACTCCGCTTGTTGTATAACCCCACCCTCACAAAGCGGCATGAAAACCATTCTTACCCCTTACCATCCCTCTCCAAAAGGGGAGTTTGGTTAAGAGAGATGGAGAAACCGATTTGTACCTTCCTTAAAAGTTGTCCTAGCTCGCTATCTACTCTCTATATGCAATTTTCACACTGCCGTACTCTAACGGAACTATCAACTCTAGACTTTCATCTCCTCCATCTATCGTATAAAAATTACCACTTCAGTCTGTTATTTGAAATAAGCATCTTCAACTATATCAAATATGTTTGAAAATTGGTCTAAACCCAGAATTTTGATTATTGTTTCCTTATTCTCAGATTCCACCAACTTTGACGTCCCAAACATAGGAAAATATTTATTCTTTTCCAAATGTCAGAATTTTAAGGTGCAAATTATTTTGGTGCGTTATCCAAACGATTCAAACTCAGTCTTTTTGTTTGCTCATGCATTTTTACATAAGACGATGTCAGCTTATTGCAATCTGAAAAGATCAGAAGAAAATATAAACTGAGTTTGAAGTTTTAGAAAACGCACCAAAGTAAATGGCACCTTAAAACCCTTAACGCTGTTGTCAAGTCCAGGATCCGAGGAATGTTCAATATTTATCAACCTATTTTTCATCATGTTGAGTGTCATCAAAACAAATTAAGATCAAAATCTTCAAAGAGTTCCTGAATACTAAACCAATAAAGTTCTGACTAGGCTGACATTAAGGTGATACTCTAAGGAAGCCTTAGCGTGAAACTTTAAAGGCACAAATGTCAGCTTCCACAAAACATACAAATTTGAAATTGCTACTCTTTGTTTGCTGTACTACTACTCTGTTTGTAGTTGCACAGCAAACAAGGAGTAGCAATTTCAAATTTGTATGTTTTGTGGAAGCTGACATTTGTGCCTTTGAAGTTTCACGCTAAGGCTTCCTTAGAATATCACCTTAAAGCTTCATCTTTGTAATGATCATATGATAAATTGCAACCCTGAAGGTGAATGGAACGTGAATGGTCATCTGCATAGCCCGCCAAAAATCAAATGACCTTCACAATCGCTTGATTTCCCCACAACAACACCACCTGCTGCAATCATCAATAACAATTGTTGAACGTAACTCCTAGGGCTCCACACTGCAAGCCCACCGAAGCTAAACCACTGATTTTGTAAATCCATTAGCAAAACTAGCCCAAATAATAAAACCTATACAGCGTGAAATCGCGTCCCAAAATGCTTCAGCCCATGGATCAAATGTTGCAGGTTGCAGTAGCTGTTGCGAATCGCATACTTCACGCATGGAGAAGAAAAAAAGAGCTATCCAGCATAATTTAGACGACGACGACGACGACGATGGAGAGAAAGAAAGATGCGATGGTTATCAATGTTGCTGCTGCTGCTGCTGTTGCTCCATCTAAGCGCGTTACAGAGTAAAGCAAATGGCGATAATTGCTGCCAGATTGCATAATCCAACGCGATCAAATTAGGTCAAAGAAAAGCGAGTGAGTAGAAAATTGTTTTTTTTTTTTTGTTTACTTTAATTTATTAGTTCGGTTGATTGGGGAAATTGCTCTGTTGCAACTGATAGACTAGAGATATGGAAAGGTTCGTGCCTTTGTTAATGAGTGCATTGTCGACGAGTCGGCCCCTACTGCTCATTCTTTGCGAGGAGCGTTGGGATATGATGATGCTGTTCCTGGTGCTTGGGTTCTGCTGATTTCGAAGACTTTGCTGCTGGTTTCACACTCTTGACCTCTTTCTTGGTTGACTCAGCGTAGGCTTGCTGATCATGACCATAGTCATTTAGTTCTTGATGATTTTGTTCTTGGTGATCTTGTTCATGCTGTTCATGCTCATGCTGTTCATGCTCATGCTGTTCATGCTCATGCTGTTCATGCTCATGCTGTTCATGCTCATGCTGATCGCTTTCTTCGTGATGAGTTTCTTCCTGATGATGTTCTTCGACTACGTGGATAGGTTGTTCAATGTAGTCACCGTTTCGATGATCTAAATGTTGGTGTCCTTCGCTGTGATGAGTGTCGTGCTTTTCGGCGTAGACTGGCTTCTCGATGTAGACGGGATATGGTTGTGGAACTTCAACTCTCTGCACAACTGGGACTGGAACCTTCTTCTCAACTTCTACGTGAACAGGCCGATCAACGTGCTTGATGACTTCCCTCTCGATGTAAACCGGATATGGCTTTGGAACGTGGACTGGATATGGTTTAGGCACCGAAACTTCAACTTTTTGAACTACCGGAACTTTGACTTCGTACGGAACCGGAACTTTCTTCTCGATGTACACTGGGACCTTCTTTTCGATGTACACTGGGACCTTCTTTTCCACGTGGACTGGATATGGAACTGGACGATCTACGTGAACTTTCTTCTCAATATAAACGGGAACTTTCCTTTCTACTTCTACTGGATATGGAACCTTTACCGGGTATGGAACTGGTCGGTCAACGTGGAACGGAATATGTTTTTCAACAATGTATGGAACCTTCTTTTCGACCGTCACAGGATATGGCACCGGACGATCAATATGAACTGGTACTTTTTTCTCTACAAACACATGCTTTTCCACCTCCACTGGATATGGAACTGGAATGTTCTTGGTGATGATCGTGTGATGATCTTCTTTCACTTCATATTGATGCGGTGCACTGAAATCGAATCCAAATGAAGGTTTGAATCCACCCTGCAGCTCAGGAGTGCTTCCATATCCAAAATCATAGAGACCACGCTTTTCATGCACTTTCCCACTCGATTCCGTTTTCAAATCCTTTTCTGTATCCACTTCCTTGACAGGTTTCTCGACGGCCGCTCCAAGCGCTATGGCCAATGCCATCGATAAAACTAAGAATGACTATTGAGAAACAAAAGAACACAACATTACTCAACCAACCAAAAACACAAAATCACTCAAACACACCTTCATTGTAAATCGCCCACTGTGCTAAAGCCAAACCCGATGAACGATCGCAACCAAATGATGGCTTGAGACGATCAATACAATCAATTTATATGGCGACCAATGTTTTCCACCGAAATCAAAAATTTTCATCATCGGCACCTCGGTAGCAGCATCCTTTCCGCCCGAGACCCCACCGGCAGCGAGCGTTCGGAGAGGTATTGCCTTCGAGAAAATACCATTTCACGAAGGGGTTGTCCAATTCTGGTGGGATGAGGTTGATGGAAAGCAAAACACAACAAAATCCAAAAACCGGCCAGCAAAAGATCACAAAGATCATACGCTTCGGGTGGCCACAACGTACGTACATACAGTGTGTCTTAAAATTGAGTGCACACAGTGAATAGATAGAAATCTTGGCTGGTGGTTGAACAACTATTTCTATACAGAGCTGGAAAAATGGCATACCTGCTTTGATCGATTCTGTTCATCGACTATCTCTTTTGATAACCACGGCTATGCAAACAGTTTTCGTGCTATTTTTGCCACATAGCATGATAAAGGAGGTTTTTATCTATCGTCCAAATCGTCAAATACAACAGGAAATGTTGTTGTACACAGTTCGAAAAAGTAATGTAAATTTATCTTCAGTATAATGCACATAAATGGAGCGTCACAGATCACATAAGTTTACATTACATATCATGTAAAATTCTGAGACATTTCATGCAATGTATCAAATATTGTATACAAAAGCCCATTGTTGTAAACAACATTGTTTATAAGTTGCTCGCTTGAGTGAAATGAAATACAAATTTACGTGAATGAATGTTTACATCACTATTAAAATTCAGAATTTCTATCTGTGTAGAATCGATCACAGAACATAGGCCCTTTTCCAACTCTGTATAGATTAATTGTACAACGGAAGAGAGAGAATTATTCATTTCCGATTAATTCAACTATCTTAATTGTTTATCCTTGACAGATACGCGTATTTCGTCTACACTGTGCAGACTGAAGCAATGACTTATACTATTACTCGACTGAAGAAACCATCGCAACTTACCGAAATCTTTGTAGATATCTACTTAGGAGCTAGGTTAACTTTGATCTAATTTTCTGTAGGAACAATTAGTTCACTGTTTACTTAAGCAATTAAGGTTGTGGAATGAAATGGAATTCACTAATCTTGATAAACACCCACATTCATCTGGAATTAATTGATTTCTCGGAATAGTTTGGGACTTTATTGGCAGAGCATGTATGAAGTTTGATTTTTTTTTTAATTTTTTTGGTTAAGCTCTTAATTGTCAACTTTTTTTTGTAGACGACGGAAAATTTCAGAAGAGTTTGGATCATTGTATTTCAAGAAATTGTGAATTTTCAGAAAGGCATTTTATAAAGTAACTCTAACTCCATACACACTGAACCTAATAAGCCCAATATTATACCGATAACCTATAGATAACGTTTGATGAGCCTGATACCAAAAAAATCAGAAAAGAAATTATGCTCGTACAGCTGTTTTCCAAACACTTAAAAACAGCTGTACGCTCAATTTCGAGATACACTGTACCTACATACAACATATTTACGTTACGGAGGAGAGTATGTTGATGAGTGAGGTCAACGTGCAATCCACTGTGACTGGTATCCACTGGTAGTGAACTGGGTATTGGACTCTTGAGAGGGTTGTCATGGAAAATCTTACATCGAATGGCTTCGCATATGAAACTAACTATTCCCAAAAACTTAATCTGTTTTGAATCATTTTCTGTAGTGTTTTCGATACCAGATAAAATTTAAGGGAACTAGAATCTTATTACTCCAATGAAACTTCATTTATTCTTATCCTATTGTTGAAAGGACCGTCACATTAAGTCAATCAGAACAATACACCATTAGCCTACTTTTGTGCCAGATCTTCCCAAAGGATCATTACCCCAGGATCCATATTAATGTCACAACTAATGATCCATTCTCATATGCCAGCCATGTGATCATTTGTCGTGTGTTTTAGTTAATATTAAATAGATAATTTTGATATTTTAACACTGCTCATCATGGCAACTTTAAAATACTCCATGAATTTGATTGACATGAAGATTTTATAAAATTGTCCAAATCCAGACATGATCCGAATACCTCCAGGACAGTGACCATCATGTGGCACATCAAATCACATAAGTATTCAAAAACTAGTGTAGTTATATCAAGCTTTCAGGGCCACATTTGGGCCCATTTGAACCTGCTGCTTTTACTCCCGGAAATATTACCAGTTTCTGGTATGAGGCATGGCCCATCATGAGAATCACATGAGAATTAAAATAGAAGTAAGCTGACCAGAGCCCCATTGGCCACATTCAGACATGGTTCGGGTACTCCCTGAGAAGACTTGGGTCAAATCCCATCAAATTACATGAGAATTCAAACACATGTTCAATGGTAGTCAGAGGCGTTCAGCGAATGTCTACGGTTCACACAAATTATCAATAATTTACATGGCAGATTGTCCACGCAGAGGGAAGGGGTGTCCAAAATCTCTTCAAAACTGTTCACGTGGAATATGGACAGCCCCTCATAACGAGTGTTCAGGACAACATGTTTATTAATTTATTTGATAAGGCTCAAACGAATTAACTTTACAAAACCAAGGAATCTTGGTCACTATACAATACATCTTAAAACTATAGTCAAAAGGTACAATACAATAAACACTTTATCTGCCGCTATCCAAAAAGCCTCCTCTATCTGAACTGGAGCCGCTTCCAGTGGTTTCATTGTATGGCAATTGCTACAACGGGGGTCAGAGCGCTTCCATTGCAGCAATGGACGCAAAACGTGGTCAGCACTGATACACTCATGACTAAACGGTTGCTTTCCAAAGTCGACGACACATCGACCGAAAGAACTGAAGAACAATGAGGAGGACCAAACAATCGTTGCTGCCGAGAAAACAGACGATTGCGTGACACACTGACACAAGTCAATGAGGTATAATCAGGTGTGGCACAAGAGGGTATTTGTTGATATTAGTAGCAATAAAGAGGCAAACAATCGGTGATGACGAAAAACTCCTAAAAAACTGGCATGAAAAAAGTGGAGTTTGACGTCACGGAAGGTATACTCCATAAACACTAGAACATATTTTGTACTACACTAATACCATTTTACGATCATTTGCTCACCTGTATGTATCTCATTGATCGAAAGTGGCCTTCTTTTGTCGACAGCCGAGTGAACACCAACTGAGTGTACTTGAAGGTTTACAGTTTCTGACATAGATTAAAATTAATATGTTTAGTCAACATCTGACATGGCCAAATACAACATCTCAATTGTATTTGGTCATGTCAGATGTTGACTTCTTCGAAGACACATACTAGGAACACATGCGGGTATTATCAAAGTGGGCCTGGGGGCTCAACATGACCACCAATGATCTTATTCATTAGTGCTCATGCGATTTAATGTCACATGAAAATTTGAAACAAACATTTTTGACAGTTAAGTTTACAGGGTGATTAAGAATAATTGTAAGCTATTTCACAAATATGCAATTCTCAATAGGTAACATGGGTATATGATCAAGTATGTTTTTTTTAAGTGTGCAAATATCAGATTGTTTTGATAGATTATTTGACATTTCATTTGTTTTCGATTTCAAGCAGCCATGGACGCGAAAACGAAGCATGTCATAAATCTGTATAAATTCTTGTGATATCTTTGAGAATCTGAAATCTCATCGAAAGAATAAAATATTTTTTTCGCATCATTTAAGACTTTGACTATATGTTTAGTATTACTTCTGCGTGAAGTCAACGATTTACATAGTTGCTAATTTCTAATAACAGACTAAAGTGGTAATTAACGGCGCCGGTGGTGTAGTGGTAGGCGTGATTACCTCTCACCCCAGCAGGCCTGGGTTCAATCCCAGTCGGCGCCGCCGGGATGTTCTGAGGCATAACATCTCTGATCACGCCTTCCTTCAGAAGGGAAGTAAAGCCGTTGGTCCCCGGTTCATGAGTTGATGGGTCGATAGGTAGGGTCCAGGTGTGGGAGCTGCCTTCCTGGCACGTCGGTAGCATTGGTGCTCAGCACGGAAAACAAGATCGACGAAAAAAACAAACCAAAGGAAAAAAAAAAAAAGTGGTAATTTTTATATGATAGATGAGGAGGAGATGAAAGTATAGAATTGATAGTTTCGTTTATAGTACGGCAGTGTGTCCCCTCGAGATCGTCAAGTCGACGATGACAGGAGCACATACCGTGGTAGGGGTAACAATAGCTGCAATTTTCAAACCTACGACTGGATGCCTTCCTTCAAATAACAACTGGAGTGCGGTAAAAATCGGTAGAACTGTTTCAAACACATCGTTGGTACTTGAGCGGGTCGGCGATCATCTCTTTTGCCAGTGGTGGCGGAGGGACACCCCTCACCAACCCTCTCCAAAGGGCGAGTTTGGTAAAGAGAGATGATAAAACCGATTTGTACCATTCTAAAAGTTGTCCTAGCTCGCTGTCTACTCTCTAAATGCAATTTTCACACTGCCGTATTCTAAATGGAACTATCAATTCTATGCTTTCATCTCCTCCTCATCTATCGTATAAAAATTACCACTTTAGTCTGTTATTTGAAATTAGCATCTTCAACTATCATTAAAGAGGTAAAAAGGAACCATGCGTGGAAAATCCGTTCAACATCCGAGCTTAGACGCATCGCCAGGACTTCATAAGTGCTGGAACTAAAACGTGTCTGCCTACTGTGGTTCATTTCTTGATTTAAATTAAAGTATGCTAAGTGGAAGGTTCTATTGGTAGTAAACCTGGAATATACTGATATCAAAAAATCATGCAAGCGTTCCCCCTGTAGTACCAATGACAACTTTCGCTGATATAATAAAACATTTTAGTTTCATAGCAACTGATTTCAACAATAAATTTACTATGGT